GCCTGCCCAGTGCACAAACCCTATAAAAAGTCTCGTGATTCCTAACACTGGAAAATCACGAAACGTCTCAATATATACATTTCATAACTGGGGCGGGGGAGGAACTTCTGCAACCCCCTGCCTTAATAACACCTCCCTGTTATCACAGAAGTAGCCTATGCAGACTATGCAGTCGCCGGGTGCATACGCGTGCATCACACACCGAGCACAGCGTACACAGATGTCCACGCGCAGATCTATTGCGGGGTCAATCTGTAAGTAGTGTATTACATGCGTTGTGTACTGGGCCCTGTGCTCGGCGGTCTGCGCGCGCATGCACCCGTAGCATAGATCCTCCTCCACGCCCCGCACGTATAAACACCCGAACAAGCATTGCCCTTCATGAAAGGAGGCGAAGAAAGCATTGAGGGGCGGCGGTATTCCATCAAGCAGTGGCCCCTCGAATGGTCCTTCTGCCCCCTCGTGCGATGTATCCGGTCGTATTGGTGCCATAATCTGTAACATTTCAGTTTTTTTTTGTTAATAAATATGTTTAAAGTAAATACAAAACAGTGTAGTCTTAAAATTATTACACTTACCGGTTCCGTAATATATAGCTGACGATTACGTCTGGTGGCGCTATGCGTCCTTGCAGCGTCTAGAAATAAGCGTAAAAGGTGTCGGATATATACAATTTTTTAAATCAAATAAAAACCTGTGCAGGTTTAAAATTATTACACTTACCGGTTCCGTAATATATAGCTGACGATTACGTCTGGTGGCGCTATGCGTCCTTGCAGCGTCTAGAAATAAGCGTAAAAGGTGTCGGATATATACAATTTTTTAAATCAAATAAAAACCTGTGCAGGTTTAAAATTATTACACTTACAGCTGCGGTGACACTCGGCTGTAGTCTGAAGGGACCTGGTGCGGTTCGTCCTTTTTTTGTAATGTCTAGAAATAAATGTCAAAGATGTCAGATACAAAATCGCTTTTTTTAATCTAATAAAAAAAATGTATATAAGCTCAACACCGATATGCATACCACTTTATTAATATTTTCTTTTTTTCTGCACTCTCTTTTTCTTTTCCCGAATTAGCCTAGAAAACAGGGTAAACGTTAGATAAAATAAAAATGGTAGAAAGCGGGAACAAGAACTTTTTTTACACCTACCGTTGTTTCTCCTATCACCAGTCTCTTCAATTTTATATCACCTTTGTGCCCTTCTGAATTGTCACCAATGTACTGACGAGATGCTGCGAAGACATCTCAAAGGTAACCATCGTATGTGTGAGAGAAATACCAAAATAGAATATTAAGGTTATATAGTCTGTAATTTATAGGACAATATATCATTATTTTATTATTTCACAAACTCAAGTGTCTAAATTGTTTCTAAAAACGCCTGCCCAGTGCACAAACCCTATAAAAAGTCTCGTGATTCCTAACACTGGAAAATCACGAAACGTCTCAATATATACATTTCATAACTGGGGCGGGGGAGGAACTTCTGCAACCCCCTGCCTTAATAACACCTCCCTGTTATCACAGAAGTAGCCTATGCAGACTATGCAGTCGCCGGGTGCATACGCGTGCATCACACACCGAGCACAGCGTACACAGATGTCCACGCGCAGATCTATTGCGGGGTCAATCTGTAAGTAGTGTATTACATGCGTTGTGTACTGGGCCCTGTGCTCGGCGGTCTGCGCGCGCATGCACCCGTAGCATAGATCCTCCTCCACGCCCCGCACGTATAAACACCCGAACAAGCATTGCCCTTCATGAAAGGAGGCGAAGAAAGCATTGAGGGGCGGCGGTATTCCATCAAGCAGTGGCCCCTCGAATGGTCCTTCTGCCCCCTCGTGCGATGTATCCGGTCGTATTGGTGCCATAATCTGTAACATTTCAGTTTTTTTTTGTTAATAAATATGTTTAAAGTAAATACAAAACAGTGTAGTCTTAAAATTATTACACTTACCGGTTCCGTAATATATAGCTGACGATTACGTCTGGTGGCGCTATGCGTCCTTGCAGCGTCTAGAAATAAGCGTAAAAGGTGTCGGATATATACAATTTTTTAAATCAAATAAAAACCTGTGCAGGTTTAAAATTATTACACTTACAGCTGCGGTGACACTCGGCTGTAGTCTGAAGGGACCTGGTGCGGTTCGTCCTTTTTTTGTAATGTCTAGAAATAAATGTCAAAGATGTCAGATACAAAATCGCTTTTTTTAATCTAATAAAAAAAATGTATATAAGCTCAACACCGATATGCATACCACTTTATTAATATTTTCTTTTTTTCTGCACTCTCTTTTTCTTTTCCCGAATTAGCCTAGAAAACAGGGTAAACGTTAGATAAAATAAAAATGGTAGAAAGCGGGAACAAGAACTTTTTTTACACCTACCGTTGTTTCTCCTATCACCAGTCTCTTCAATTTTATATCACCTTTGTGCCCTTCTGAATTGTCACCAATGTACTGACGAGATGCTGCGAAGACATCTCAAAGGTAACCATCGTTTTCCCCACCATAGCCCTGATTTTTTGCATAGTTGCAAATAAGAGACACATGTAGCAGTTTACGCTGCTAAGCCAGTGGTACCCCCCACGCCTGATGTATTTGGCGCATCGCTCGCTAGATGATCCAAAAGAAGGGTACCATCATTCCAACAGTTACGTGGTATGTGGAGAATTCACCCCGAGCAAAGTATTAGAGGGTTGGCTATCCACACATCGATAGCTAAAAGTATCGAAAAAGTATCGCTAATACGTGCGATACTTGTATAATATAAGGTATTTCTTACAAAAAAAGAACCGTATTCTACTTTACCACGCTACCTCCTTAGGGTAATTAAAAAGGTTACCGACAGGGGGTCAGTGTATAATTACCGACCGTGGTATGCCCCCTGGGGACATGCAGCTGGGAATTTTCGCGCCTTAGGACCGCATGGTGGGGCATCGCCTCATGGCTGAGGGGTGGGGAGAGCTGCCCACATCGGCGAGGCGGGTGACGTCATAGCGCGGCGTGGAGAGCCAGAGCGCTGCGCGCTACATGACTCATGGGAGATAGTGTCGGGGGTTTGTTGTGACGGCCAGAAGTGGTATGTAACTACTCTTGTTAATTTGTGAATCAACTATTGAACTCTCAATTAATATAGCAACTCACAGATTCTATTTATTGCAACGGACCAATAACGATATTTTATTGTACATGTATCACTGTTACCAATAATAGCTTTTCTCTGTCTATAAAAATTATCTTTTATTCAACAGATAGCATTCAACTAGCTTTGCTTCGTAATTTTCACGCTTCTACATTCATCCAATCATTTCTGTACCAAATTCTAGTATTTTGATTCTATTTTTTTATAAGATTGGATGTTCAATTATTTATCAACCCTTATTTTGGTCTGATAACTTACTCACCGTTTGTCTACAGCTTCGTGCTTCGATGATCTACTAATTATATGATCAATGCTTATATGCTCAATTACTTTTACAGATGCTAATGAATAAACTAGAAATCTATACTCATATCCGTTCAAGACTATTTTTTCCAACTTCCTGAACATCTGTTCTGCCTTATTTCAATCAAGCATGACTCTAATTTAGCTGCTTATCATTGTATCTCATTAAAGAACGGTTTATCATCTCTCACATGGAGTTAAGCTATATTAATTATTATAAACCCTTGAAACAAAAATTCAAACATTGTGATTAATATAACTTATTATGCCGTTTACTGGGATTCAATCCTTGCACGCTTCCTAGACTTTCCTCTGTTCAGTCACAGCTCCTCTCAGGATTGAATTGCCCTAATCAGCTTACCAAGTAGGAAACTTAAGCTAATTTGAATGGCTCTGGTCCTATCAGGCACCAGGCTCATAATCTAAAGAATGACAAGGTCGAAGATCTACTGCATTTCGCTACCGGCTGCAAGGTTACGATAGGGTGGAATGTTTAAATCTCGGAGACTGGGTAGGTTAGTGGATAAGTATATCGTCGGCGAGCGAGCGAAGCGAGCGAGGCCGACTGAAGAGAGCATTAAATGTCTTAAAAGGTTCCGTCAGATAATGATAACTTACAATATCCTTAAATTACTGATCGAATATCGTTCAGGAGGTAGAAATTCGCTTTTGTGTTTATTTGGGTTTGTGCGCAACTGGGCATCATTCAATCTGTCGATTCGATTTCAATCCGTGCGCAAGTGGTCCGTGGGCAACTGGGTCTGTGGGCAAGTGGGCCGTGGGCAATCGGTCCGTGCGCATCTGGTTCCGTGGGCAAGTGGTCTATGCGTATCTGGACACCACTCGGCGCCGGCGGGGGTAGCATATCCCCCACCACCACCATCGCCTGTCCCGCACCACTGAGGTGCTCGCGCCTGCCCCTCTCTCGCTCTCCCCACTCCCTTCACCACCCTTCTCAATTTATTTAGTTTGTTTATTTAGTGAATCTTCCATAGTGTTCCCACGTGTAAGTTCAGAAATAAAGGTCCACCTGGGCATAGCCGCCATACCCAGGTAAGCGTAAAAATTCTGTGGTTTCGGTAGGTGCCACCGGAGGAACCGTTCGCGACTGCGCTATTTCACCTCCACGCAGCCATGCACCCCTCGGCACAGTATCTTGACACCTTGGGTTTGGAGGCTGTGCCGTTCTTAGTCTGATACCTCACCCCGAACCTGTCCGACATGGTCGTACCTGCCAGGGGCCAAGGCCCTCGCTGGTATAGCCTCGAGGGTCATTAATACACGCAAGCCCCTTCACCATGACAGGGTGACGACACCTCGAAGGGGACGACACCTTGAAGGGGTGAGGTACCTCGAAGGGGACCCACCCAACCTTTTTTTTTAACGTGGGGGAAATCTTCACCAAGATACCCCGACCCCCTTGGGGGGGGGGCACTATAGTGTGGGAATCTTACCCACTAAAACCCCCACGGTGACCCACCTAGGGCTCAACAAGGGGGCCCCGGGATCTCATACGAACGCTACCGGGACCCCCGACACCCTCGCCTCACGAACCTTCTCTATCCCCTAGAAAGGGACTCTCACTACTCCCGACTTCCTCCCCACTTGCCAAGTGCAAGGACCGCGGAGCCCCATTTCCGCGGACTGTGGCCTGTTACGGCTTGGGGGGAGGGGGACGCATTCTCCGACGACCCCCTCTCCCCGCCCGTGCCCTCCCCGTGGGATACGCCCTCTCGCCCTGTCGGCGGCCTCCTTCCACAAGATAACTACATCGCAGAAGGAGGCAACCGCATTCCATCCTCCCTCGCTGCCCACCATCTTATTAATGACGGCAGGCAGCGAGAGATCCCCCCCTATGACTCCAACCAGGACACCGCGCTCCCCGCTGAAGGTAGGGCACGCCTCCAAGGTGTGTTGCGCAGTGTCCTGGTTGGCTCCGCAATGGTGGCACCGCGCCGCCGCCTCCCTGCATATTCTACGCAGGTACCCACCGAAGAACCCATGCCCGGTGAGCACCTGAATGAGGCGGAAGGTTAACCTCCCCCAGCCACGACCCAGCCAACCCTCCCAGTTGGCCAGAATTGCCCCGACAGTCCGATGGCTGTGGCTGCACTACAGAAACTCACGCCACTCAGCCACCACGTCCTGCCGGGCTTGGAGCCTCAGGACTCGCACCTTTCGTGCCAGCAAGCGTTCTCTCCCCGACCTCACCGTGCACCGCGCAATTTGCGATACACGCGAGCTTCCAATCTGGCTTGGAGGTCGAAGGGAATCACCCTCGCCAGCACCCCCGTCACCTCATGGGAGACCGTGCGGTACCCCCTTATGATCCTCACAGCCAGCCGCCTTTGGAGGCTTTGTATCTTAGTGCGCCCCCGGCGGCTGGCCACTAGATCCCCAGCCCATACCGGCGCTCCGTACAGCGCCATCGACCGCACGACCCCCATATAGAGGCGACGGACCTTTTGGCTGGGCCCACCCAGGTTGGGGAGCAGTCGGGCCAGCGCCCCGGCCACCCCCTCAACCCGCGGGCCCAGTCCCTCAAAGTGAGCCACGAAGCTCCAATGGCTGTCTAGGGTGCGACCGAGGTATCTCATGGATTTCCCGATCCCCACCTGGGCCTCTCCTATCCCGATCCGGGCTCCGGGAGGCGGTAGGCCGCACAGACGGCGGTCATACACCCACATCGTCTCCAGGGCCCGGATCACCGCGACGACGCAGGCTACCTTCATCTCCGTCAGTCGGACGGCCCTTCCCCATGATGCCTCGCCGGCGAGGAGCAGCGTGTCATCTGCATAGCACACAAGGTCCACGCCGGCGGGCAGGCCCATTCCTAGTACGGCGTCGTACGCGAGGGCCCACAGCGTCGACTCCAACACCGATCCCTGCGGGACCCCGCATCCGAAGCCCCTAACGTGGGAGACTCCCTCCCCATCCCGGTATTCTACCGTCCTTTCTCGCAGGGAAGACCCGATCAACCTCCGTAGGTAAAGGGGCACCTGATGGCGGCCGAGCGCCCCCCTGATGTCCCCCAGGGCAGGGTGTTAAAAGCATTGAAAATGTCAATGCCCACAGCCACCGCCACCCCACCGTGGGAGGCCACGCCCCACGTGAGGCCACGTCCCACGTTTTGGACCGCGTCCAGCGCGGACCAAAAATATATATTAAATACCTTAAAGTCAATACCAGTACGAGATTTCATTATCACCAAGGAACAATCCAAGGGTAATCTCACCGTAGCTGATGTTTTCTCTATTGCTGCTCGTGGGAATATCTAAGTTAAAGGAGTCTCTACCACCGCATAAATATGATCTCTTACGCCGCACCAAGGTTAAAGCTGCCGCTGCATCATACAAGTTTGTCTGGGTCCGGTCTGGTATTATTTCTGTACGTCGTGATATGTACGTCTGTACGTAACTGTACGTCTCTCTGTCTCTCTGTCTGTCTGTCTGTCTCTCTCTTTCTCTGTTGTTGGAAGAATGATACATTTGGATTACATATGATAATATACACACGTAAACGCCTCCCCTCCAGAGCGCATCACGCGACGTGAGTGCGAGCGGCACAGAGCACCGCCCTACCTCACTCTCTCTATTCTATACTGCGCGATCTGACCGCGACGAGTATGAGGCTCAATATTCTTGAAAATAAGTATTTTTGAATAAATCACCTCTTGAAATAAACCCAGTATCCATTTCTTTTACCACGTGCATAATAAATCCAACATGGTAGCAGAGCGTGGTTAAAGAAAAAGAAAATTGTTGATTATCGTAGTTTGTTGATTCTCGTCTTAATTAAAAAAGTGAATAAGTTAATGGAAAATATTCAAGAAAAAGAAAAATCAGAAGAAGAATTAACTAAGGAAGTGAATAGTGAAAATCTTGAGTTAAGCAAAAAGGCGAGAAACTACATAAGAAAAGTGTTTTTGAGAACATTAAGAGAGGTGCTGACGCTACAAAAGGAAATAGAATTTGAAATGGCTAAACAAGTGAAGATTGATGACGTGCATATACCAGTGTTTGATGGTAGTAACTATCCAAGTTGGGAATTTAGAATACTAAATATTCTTGAATATAAGGAATGTAAAGATCAAGCCATTAGAGAGAGAACACAAGAAGACACAGAAGCCAGTTGGAAAAAAAGTGATTTGAAAGCAAAGACTATAGTGATAAGTTCAATATCAGATAAACAGTTAGAATACATTCGTGACTGTAAAACTACGTTCGAGATCATGGAGAAATTTAAGAGTATATACTCCACAAAATCTACAGCTTTACAAATTGTATGTAGAGGAAAGCTGGAAGATGTAAAGCTAAAAAATTATGAATCAGTAGAAGAATTTTTTGCGG